CTTTAGCTATAGCATTTATATAAAAATTACATTATATACATAGTAACTTCATGTAATTACTAATTTTAAAACTACCAATAAAGATATAAGTAAGACCTCACCTTAATACCAAAAAAAAAAAAAAAAACCAAATGTGGAATGCAATAAAAGAAGTTATAATTGAAGTGACAAACAAGCAAATCCCAAAAAAGAAAATATTCAACACTAAATTAAATAGAAGACAAAACTAGAAAAAAATAATAAAATACAAATACATCATCAAACTCCAGCAAATAATCAAGAAAACAAGAAATAAGAAGAATCAAGAAATAAAAAAGAATGAAGGAATTAAAATAAATAACAAACTTCAAATAATAAAAAAATAGCTAGAAGCAACATTGCCAAAACTACACAGTCAGTAGTTAGAAGTCTGAATTAATGATATAAAAAGTTGGCAAAGAATAATTAAGAAGAAAAGAAAAGGGGAATAGAAATGAGTACAAAAAAAACAGATAGAAGAGAATATAAACAGAAGATATGAAATGATTAGAACAGATCAAGGTTAAATTATTGTCTGCCTATTAAATAAATTATACAAAAAGATCATTCTAGACAGATTTATAATACAAGAAAAATAAGAAGTCAACCTAATATTAGAACCAAATACAGTTCTAAATGGTTTGGCAATTCATTTTAAAAACCAATTTAGAAAACAAAAAACCAAAGTTGAAGAAATAATAAAAGAATGAAAAAGAGTATTTAACCTAAAAGAGTGGATCAATGAGACCTAGTATAAAAAAACTAGAAGAAAGAATAGAAAAAAATGAATAGGAAGAAACACTTAGAGAGCTTAAAATGAATACAGCCTCAGGAATATTAGGCATAAGCTATACATTAATAAAATATATAAAGAAAAGATCATAAAAGATTTTCAAAACTTTTATAAATCTGATTTTGGAAAAGAAAATATACCAAAAAAATGAAAAATTGTGTAAATATATCCAATTTCAAAAATGTAGACTGGAATTATTGTTTAAACAATATTAGGCCAATAGCATTGATTGAGACATTTAGAAAAGTTATTATAAAAATAGTGACAAAAAGATTAGATAGAATGTTTACAGAAAGAAACATACTCAGAGAACTAAATTTTGTAAGTCTGCCAGGTAATACAACAGAGCAACCAATATATATACTAAATATAATAATGAAAAAGACACAAAAAAAAATAAAAAAGTATAGATATTATTACAAGATATGAAAAAAGCATTTAATTCAATTCTATTAGAAAACCTAGAATGGGTCTTAAAAAGAATCAAAATCTTGTAAAAAACAAGAAAATACATAAGCAATATGTTTTGTAAATAGTAACTCAAAGTTATCATAACTTATGATTTAATAGAAAAAATTATAATAGGAGATAGAATAGACCAAGGAGAGGTAATCTTATCATTAATTTAGTATTTTTTCTATGATTCATTATTAGAAAAAATACAAGAAGATAAAATATTAGACTATAAAATAAAACAAAGAATTACAAAAAGAGCATGTAGTGATAATGTTACAAGTTATAGTCAAGCAACAATTGCATATGTTGATAATACAACATGAATTGTAAACAATAAAGAACAGATACTAAGAACTCCAAGTATTGCAGAAGAGTTCTTCAAAGTAAATAACATTGAAATAAATAGATCCAAATTAAAGCTCATAATAATGAATATAAGAACAAAAAAAGAAGGAAAAGAAATTACATTTAGTCACAATAAAATAATAGAAAAACCTAAAAACAAAGTTGTAAAATCACTAGAAATATGATTGAATAATAAAATAAGAGAAGTATTAGTCTGTAAAAAAGCAAAAGAAATAGTTAGACAAACAGTTAAAGATCTGAGATATAAAAGGATGATGATGAGCCAAATCACATATATAAACAATACAGTAATAATTCCTAAGCTAGGATATCTTACAACTAACAAAAATATCAGAAAAGATGATTGATAAAATACATCAACTGTTAATATGTTTGGCTAAACATAAGTGCAATATGATGAGAACATCAAATAATTACACAATTGAGTACAAAAACTTAGATAATTGTAAAATACTAAGTTAAGAGATAATAATCAAGCAAATAAGTAGTTCTTCTTAAGACTCAATAGACAAGACAATTTGTATAAAATAACAAGACTTAGAATAGCTCAAGGATACCAAAAGGCAGATTTAACAGAAGACATTTAGGACAATAAAAGAAAAATAGAAGTTAAGAAATTTTGGAAAAATAACCTAATCTGTCGAACAATAGCTAAAGTAAAAGAAATAGAAATAAACATCAAAGTAGAAAAACTCTTATAGAAAATTTATAGATATGATAAACAGATAAGAGACATGCTAAATACAAAAATGTGGATAGCAAGCAATAGTACAATAAATGAATGAGAGTTATTATACTTAAACTAACTTATAGATATAAAAGATAATAATCTGATCACATGGAGACAGCTCAAGGGTCTTCAAGACTTGTCATATAAGGGAAAGAAAACTAAATAGTTTAGCAAAATAGAAGAAAAGATATTAAAAACACAAACGAGCAGAGGAATACAAAATTAATACAAAGTAAGAAGATACAATACATAAGTATTAAAGATCAAGTAGACAAAGATATCTGAAGACCAAAAAAAAAAATAATGGATTATTTATAGACCAAAACACAACTAACAAGTAAGCAAAGTAATTAAGAAGGAAAAGAAAAAAATGTTAGCAGAGCATTGGTCAATGCATATAGAAGAAGAAAGAACATTGACAAAAATAAGTCTATGCAAAGATTGTAAAAACAATTCAGAACAGACAACAGACAAGTGTGAAAGATGGATAAGACAAGACCATGACATGAGAGTGATACCAGAGTTGTTAATGGAGAAAACTAACAATAGGATAAATGCAATGTTAGAGCAAATACTATTAATAAAAAGGATAATTTAAATATAATTATTTAACTTGTAAAAACTTATAATTATATTATTAACAATTTAAAAACTTTTAGTAATAATACTTATTAACTAAAATTTTGATGTACAAATCTTTTTGCACTGGACCATATTACATATTTTGGGTAATCATGTAGCAACAATTTCTACCTAAGTCCAATCCCTAAAGTAAATGCTATTAAAAATTGGTTTTAAATATCTTTAATTAGTAGCTCACGAATAAAAACTGATTCGAAAAACATGCAATCTGCTTGTGACTGATCCATCCCTACTAATCAGAGTTGCTACTATTACACAAAACCATTTTCATACCTAATATCACAGTAAAAATAGATTATAAAAACTTTTGTAGTTGCTCAATGTAAATCGAATACGAAATAAAGTAAAATATTTTAGAATAAAAGAATCAAATAAGTTCTAGTTTATAATACTGAAAGGAAAAATGGCACTTCGGGCTTCTAATTACAGAAATATATAACACAATGGACAAACTTTGATCAGCATTCCCCCTTGGCAATCATATGATCAATTATTAAAAAAAGAAACACACAATTATAGTTAGAAAACTTATATAAGAATTAAGTGTAAAATGCTTTTTTAAATCGTTCAGTTTTATAGAACATTGGAGGTTATCGACGTTAATAATATTCTATACCAATATTAATTCCGTTGCGCATATCACCTAAAAAATAAAGAAAAAAAAAAGGCATTATGACGGACAATTATGACAAAACACTAATGCATTTAAATGAACTATTACAACTCGATTCAAATAATGCTGACATATTGAATGATCGTGGAATAGTTTATCAAAATATGGGTAAATATGAAGAATCGCTTGCAGACTTTGATAAATCATTGGAAATTAAACCAAATGACGCCAAAATATTAAATAATCGTGGATTGATATTTCTAAAGATGTACAAATTTGAGGAATCAGTTATAGACTTAAATGCATCATTAAAGATCAATCCGAATGATCCAGATACATTATGTAATCGAGGATTAGCTTACCAAATGTTAAGTAGGTATTATGAATCACTTAAAGATTTAAATAAATCATTAAAAATTAAACAGAATAATGTGGAAGCATTAAATAACAGAGGGGCAACCTATATGGAGATCGGTAAATATGAACAATCGCTTGATGATATAAGTCAATCATTAAAAATCCAACCAAATAATGCTGATGCATTATGTATTCGTGGGATACTCCATCAATACTTAAATAGATATGAAGAATCGCTTGCTGATTTAAATAAATCTTTAGAAATAAACCCAGACAATGTGATTTCACTATTTGTTCGGGGTTTAACTCATAATTTGATGGGTAAACATGAAGAATCACATGCTGATTTACATAAAGCATTTTCAAATCTAAATAAATCAGAAATTGATCCAAATGATTCAAGAAAATTAATTATCCGTGGAATTATTTATCTAAATCTGAGGAAATATGATGAGTCGCTTGAAGATCTAGATAAATCATTAAAGGTACAACCAGATAATCCTACAGCATTAGTATATCGTGGACTTCTTTCTCAAGAGAAAGGAAGATATGAGGAATCGCTGGTATATTTAAATAAGTCATTGAATATCAGACCAAATGATGCTGGGGCATTAAGGATCCGTGGATATACTTATCTAAAGATGAAAAGATATGAAGAATCTCTTATCGATTTCACTAAATCATTAGAATTAACTCCAAATAATGCTATAACATTGAACAATCGAGGGTTAATATTTCAATATTTGGGCAGATATGAAGAATCGCTTAAAGATCTTAATGAGACATTACAAATCGATCCAAATAACATTGCAGCATTAAGTTATCGAGGATTAACATACCAACAGATGTGTGAATACGAAAACTCGCTTAATGATTTTAATAAAGTATTAGAAATGAATCCAAATAGCGTAATAGCACTAATTAATCGAGGATCAATATACAGTTTTATGCACAAATATGAAGAATCGATTAATGATTTTAATAAAGTATTAAAAATTGATCCAAATAATGCTCTGATATGGGGTATGCGTGGATTTATGCTTCAACTTTTAGGAAAAGATGAAGAATCGCTCATGGATTTTAATAAATCTTTAAAAATCGATCCAGATAATGCTATTGTCAAATTAGGAAAACAAATACCAAAGTCAATCACAAAATTAATTAAACAATCTTTGAGTGGAGGATCTGAAGGACTGTTCGCGCAATTAACGACATTTTCTAAATTATCAGAAAATAATATTCAAGGATGGGATTTTAATGAACAGTTTAATCAATTCATGAGCCAATGGGATGAAATGTCTGTGGGTTTACATGAAAATTTAACTAAATTATTAGAAATTAGACCAAATGATATAGTTGCTCTAAATTTACGTGGATTCTTATATCAATTTTGGAAAGATTATGACAACTCACTTGTAGATTTAAATAGCTCATTAAAAATATATCCAAATAACGTTAAAACACTTAATATTCGTGGATCAACTTATCAAAGAATGGGCAGGTACGAAGATTCACTCGCAGACTTTAAAAAATCCTTAGAAATCAAACCAAATGATGTAGAAACGTTATTTAATATTGGATTTACTTATCGAGAAATGGGTAGATATGAAGATTCACTTGCAATAGCTAATAAATTATTAGAAATTATGCCAAATAGTGTTATGGCTTTGGAACTTCGTAGAATTAATTATTCTTTCATGGGCAGATATAAAGATTCACTTGAAGATTTAAATAAATTACTCGTTATCAATCCACAAAATGTTTCAACACTCAATCATCGGGGATTGATTTATCAACAGATGGGCGAATACCAAAAGTCTCTTGAAGATTTAGAAAAATCCTTAAGCCTCTTATCAAACAATGCAGAAACATTGAGTCTACTCGGATTAGCTCATAAGGAAATGGATAACTTTGAAAAATCACTCGAAGAATTAAATAAATCATTAGAATCAAAGTCGAATTATGCTTTGGCATTAAATTCCCGTGGAACAACTTATCGAATGATGGGTGAATATAAAAAATCACTTGAAGATTTAGAAGATTCATTACAAATTAATCCAAACGATTCAATAGCATTAAACAATCTTGGATTAACTTACCAGGACATGGGAAAATATGCAGAATCAATTAAATTTTTAACTAGGTCATTAGAAATTGATTCAAAAAATTATAAAACATTGAATAATCGTGGAATAACTTTTCTAAGGATGGAGAGATATGAAGAATCGCTTATAGATTTTAATGAAGCATTAAAACTTAGACCTAACGATGCTACAACATTAAATAATCGTGGTTTGACATATCAATTTATGAGAAGATATGAAGATTCACTAAAAGATTTAAATAAATCATTAGAAATAAGACCAAATCATATTATAACGTTAAGTAATCGTGGATTAACTTATCAATTTATGGGAAGATATGAAGAATCGATTGAAGATTTAAATAATGCTTTAGGAATTAAATCAAGCGATACAAAGATAATAAATAGGTATAAAGACACATTCATGAGATTCGGATCTTGTGAGCGATGTGGGTTTAATACCGGATATCTTTTTTGCCATTCATGTGACCCTCAAATAATTAATGAGTGGACTAGCGGTAATAATGATATAGATAAGTTTATAAAGGGTGCACA